TGTGTGTGTGTGTGTGTGTGTACGCAGCAGCAGCATCATGAGTGAGACAGTCGGCCGTCACTCTGGTAGTGCTCCAAATCTCGCTCATCTCCCTCACTCTTAAATGGTGCTTGATGTTCTCAGAGTCAAACAGAGGCTACGCCGTTTCCAACGGGAGCAAGAGTACATCCTGGGCTTAAACAGTCCCGCAGACTAGATTTTATCTGGAAGACTGGCTCTGGTGGGGATTATGACGTCAGTTTACCTTATATTTGTTCATGTAACCCATGAAGTGAAGAAAAGCAACATTAAGCTTCATACTTCATCCCTGTTGGTATTTGGCAGTCAGTATAGAGCGATGCAGAATGATGTTTGTGTTTTTAAAGATTGGTTGCCATATTAAGCTGCTAAAAAGGTCATTTAAAGGGAGTTGCAATCAGCAAAATGAACAACCCATTCCTTGAAATCATTAAGTGGCTCATTAAACTCAATTTGAACTATAACTGGAATACTTGGTTTGTGTTGTTGCACATCTATGAAACTCCTCTCTGATACTTGAAATACAGCTAAAGAGGATACTTTTGGTTTATTGACTAAATCGAGATGTATGTAGATTATATATAGTGTTAATTGGGATAACCATAACTGAGTATGTAGCATATCATGAGTATATAGCACATTCGTGTTTTAAATGTTTGTATCATTGTGTTTGAATATGTGTTTATGTATGTGTATGTGCTGTGTGGTTTGTTCTTAGATGAATGTTCCAGTATCTTATTACACTGTAGAGCATATAGTCTATGTTAGTGCATCGGGTCACGGGAGGCAAAGAGACAGAAAACAGTGCATTGATATAATAAATGTGTATTGGGTTTCTTAGGTAATGGGGGCTTTTAATAACTCTATCATTTAAAGTGTAGTCTTTATAGCGGAAATATTAGTTTAAATATAAGTTGTGATGATTTTTTCTTCAGAAAGGTAATATTTTAAGCTATTAGTTTAATATGATGCCAGTGATTTATTAAAGGCAATAAAAATGGTCACATTTATTTTAGATGATTTGATGTTTAGAATAGACTAATAATGTTCTTCCAATGTAATGAAGACTATGCATGAAGACTAATCTTATGTACTGAGCTAATATTATATATAAACAAACTCTGTGTATGTATCCATGGAAACATTTTAATAAAGCCTCGCCAAATTAGTTCATATTTAATACTCGCTCTATATTGTTATTGTTACACTTTCAGTTTTTTTAAAGCTGAAATCTTACATTTCATTAGGAATCTTTGCCAGTTGAAATGGCAAGCCATAAAAAATAGCTGCTTGTAATCCTCTCTGCAGTTATTATAACAGTTGGACACGTTTTATAATACAACAATTAAACGAATATCAAAATACAACAATTATACAAATACGTGCTTTGATTGGTCAAGGCTCATTTATTGGTCTGTAAAGCCTGTAAATTTAAGACAGCGTAGTGTTTTCTCATATCAGAGATTGTTATAGTAACCCTAAAAATTGATCAGGGTTTGTTCATGTAAGTGGCTCAGCATTCACTCTCAGTGTTCGTAATGGCATGTTGTGTGCATTGTGGTGTTTAGCTTAGGCGAGGACATGCGGGCACCCCTCCTCTCCTCTGCAGTGTGCCACAGTGCTGGATGAAGACTATTGTTCTGGTGCCCTCGTCTTCCTCTGGCACCACACTTCACCCACCACACCAGCCCACTTCGTAAACAAGTATGTGTTTGTGTGTGTGTGTGTGTGTGTGTGTGTGTGTGTGTGTGTGTGTGTGTGTGTGAAACTGGTGCAAGGTCAGTGTGAAAATGCAGGACGGTTATGATGGAAGATATTTGCTTTAGTCACCGTGGGGGTTTGGCATGGAAATTTCGCTCCTTGTGTTGCTCAGCATCTCTTGTCCATATGCAGTAGTGCAGTAGAGGAATGTTGCTGAAGTTACAGGTTTCTTAAAGTGTCACACCACTGATAATGTCTGCACACACGCCGTTCCTCCCACACACACACCCCGTTCCTCTCGCTCACTGTCAGAATCATGGTAGTTGGTCTGCAGTGCCAGCACACGCCCCAGGAACGCCCAGATTTTACCGCAGTACCAAAGTACCCTGAGCAGTCTCACACACACAAATACACTCACTCCACCCGCAATATGATTATGAGAACTAATCAGCTTAAAGTCACACTCGGATACATTTGGAAAGACCGTGTTTTTGCCTGCCATCCGGTTTAATTGATTTTTGGATCGTTTGATCTTTTGTTTATATTTTTCAGCGTTCACGCAGTCATTGAAAACCTGGAAATATAAGAGAGTAATAAAAGTGTGATTTATCTAGTATAGTATAAACTGAATATAATTAAATACATTTCTGTAGTGAATATAAATTTGTCAAGTTTTGCCCTGGTCAGAAATGTTTAATTGACTTGATACTGAGTGCTTATATAGAGTAAAACAAGACCTTTAGTATAGGGACCAATTCTCACTATTAACTAGTTGCTTATTAGCATGCCTATTATTAACATATTAGCTGTTTATTAGTACTTATGCAGCATTTATTGTAGATGACCATATTCTACATCCTTAATCCTATCCAATACCTAAACTTAACAACTACCTTACTAACTATTAATAAGCAGCAATTTAGGAGTTTGAGAAAAAAGTCGTAGTTAATGGTTTGTTAATATCGAGAATTGGACGTTAAAATAAAGTGTGACCGGAAAGGCATGTTCATTTAAATAGATTCCCTCCAATTTGAGATCTGCCAAGCTATCGCAATAAAATGACGTCTAAAAATCGTTGAAATTCGTTGGTCAAAAACTACTTCTTCCATTTTTTTTAAACATGATGTTCTTGTTTTGTGTCTGGCCATGTGTACATGTCTGTGTATTTTGCAGTAAGAAGACACCGTTGTCCCTTTCTCACAGACGTTGTCCCACATGGCCATATGTTCAAGGCTGGCATAAAGCATCCTACATATTTCTCTATAGTCTGTCCATCTGAGTGCTTCCACACAAACAGAAAAACAAACACACTAATAATGGTGGATTACAGTTGTCAGATGTTAAATGTGCAACAAAGAAGAATGCATTTGGACGAAAGTGGAAAAATATCAAGAAAGAGCAGAGAGAGAGAAGAATAGCTCGACGGTTGAAGCTCATTTCTCATTTAAAAAGGGAAGCATCAGGAATGTGAGTAAATAGCATTTTTTTACCATGCATGCCCGACTGCAGCTCACCCCCTCAGTCCAGCTGATTTCTCTAAAATAAACCAGCACAGAGCATTCGGCCACAGTCACAGCCGCTGAATCGCTGGGATTCTGTGCATGAGGATGTATGTAGTCTAGAGGGAGAATGTATTTATGTCAGTGTGCTACATTTGAGGCGGATTATTCGCATGCGGTGTATTTAAATTTTTCTTGTTCGTAAATTCTCTTGTTTTCAATCTCTGGATCTTGCATGTGCCCTCTCTCTTTCCCTCCCTCTCTCTCTGTCCTCAGATGGCTTTCAGCCTACTTTCCTATAACAGAAAACAGAGCAGAGTGGAGTCAGCATTCACAGTCAGAGGCAGGCGCAAGCACCAGATAAACGCCCCCTTTAAGTGTGTGTATACTGTATGTACATATGAGTGCAATGTAACTGCTTTGTGTTTCTCTGTTTATCTTTCTGTCATTTTTCACAATGCACTGAGTAAGATGGCCTGGATGGAATCTGCAGACAGTTTTCACACTTTCAGTTGCTGTGTGATTCTGTCTGATGGATTAAAACATGGTAAAATGTGGTAAATTGATCTAAAAATACTCTAGTATTTTAGTATTCTTGGTATCTAAATGAATAATCATTATTAGTGAAAGACAAACTTTGTATTGCTGTGCAAATGTGCAGATTACACATGGGCCTAGAAATCACCATTCTGTGTCTCGACAGAGCTATTTATATTTCATTCTTATGAAAGATGTTTGGTTTCATCTTCTGATCTGTTTTTCTTTTTCCAACTTAAGTATATTTTACATCTGTCCTCTATATCATCCCCTCCTGCCTCTCACTCCATTTCCCAGCCAAAAGCACTGAGAATATTCCTTCCTTCTCTCTTTCTCTCTCTGTCTGTCTCTTTCTCTCTTTCTCCCTCTATCTCCCCCCTTCCCAACCCTCTCTCTGTCAACTAAAGCCCTTTCATAATGAATGGCAAGGTACGATAATAGCCTTTCGGTTGCTATAGTAACCAGACAGGAGCTCTGTTCGTGCTGTATTTTTTGTCCTTTATTTTTTTTTTCCAAGGGGACAAATGACAGTGGAATGTGAGGTGAAACCCTCCCTCTCACTTTCCCTCCTTCTCTTTCTCATACACTCACAGCAGATTCCCTATGTTCTTTCATATTTGTCTGTGCTTCCTTGCATCCTTAATATGACAAACAGGTTCATATGAGAAACCAGTTCCGTATTGTTATTGTATGTTTATGTTATAATCAGAACTGGGTAGATAATTTACAAATTTTAATCTGTTTACTGATTTCAAATTAAATGACAAAAAACGTAGTTAGCAACGTAATCCATTATATTACACATTTTAGGTAATATAATCAGTAATATATTACTTTTGACCTATCTAGTTTTTCACATTGATTTAAATAGGATAATCCTGCACCATATTGATATAAAATTACAAAGAGTAAGAAAATATTTTCCATTTGTTGTTATCAATAACATGAAGTGCATTAAACATTATATTACGTCATGGTTTCCCAAAATGGGGTTTGTGAAGGAATTGCAGGGGGTTTATGTGTTCAGTGAAAAGCTAATAATGAATTAAATCATAAAAATGTTAAATTAAAACAAATAATTTTAAAAGGAATCAAAATAAAACACTTGCTGAAAAAAAATTCATATTTTATTTGTTTTACCTTCATGTCATGTGACCATAACCAACATCAGAGAACCTTGAACATGCAAACGTGTTACCTAATTATTAAAATATTTATTTTAAAATCTCTGGGGTACTTCATATAAAAATATGTTAGGTGAAAGAGGATCAGATGACAAAAAAGTTGGTGAATTTGTGAATTAATACATTTTAATGTGTTTGAAAGACAAACAAAAGTAATACATGGTCAAATAACCACTTGATACTTGATACGAGTGATTTATGTGTCGATCAGTAGTTGATGCAATGTTGAAGCACTTCTTAAACCTGAAATGATTTTTGTAAATCCAGTGGTCAAATGCTGTTATTAAAGATAAATATGTTTAATTGTTTAAATTAATAAAAATAAAATTATTTGCAGATATTTCTCAGAATGTGATGGCTATTCGTAACAGTGCATCTATAAATAAATGGTTTAAATAAATCTCATTTAGCTTCCTTGTAAAAATCATTTCAAACTTGATTATATGAGTAATATCCTCGATGCTTTGACTGATATATCAAACCTAATTGAATTCTACTAAACTATTTTCTACTCATGACACATGATGCACAATGCATTTATTTTTTATTTGCGTCACGAATTACAGTGAAATAAATGCAAAAGTCTACATTATCAAGGTGCTGATCATTTATAATGTGAATGCTGTGCCCTCGTTTCCATTTGTCTGTACAGATCACATGTTCAGAGGCAGCGGTATATGGTGCCCGTGGCCTTAGCATTTATAGTGGGGCGATAAGTGGTGGACACAGATTAATCATCAACACACAGAAAAACATGCGTGTACACACACACACACACACACACACACACACACACACTGTCTCTGTGCAGCTGTTGAAGCTGGTGGTGTCACCATAGCGACAGCAATGTGCTACTGAAGATCCCAGCCAACAGCTGCTCTCTGTAGAAACAGTATTGATTGAGTCTGTTCCACTCCCACTTCAAAATGTGTATGTCTGTTAGCTGTCAGTATCTGCGTACCATACACCGTATCTCAACATTTGGGTTTCAAATGTTTTCTGTGCAATAATTGCGCGTCCTTGAAGTGTTTACATTATAGTGTTGTGAGTTTTCATGTAAAGGTGGAAGCATGTGTATCCATGTGTGTGCAACAGATGGATTGGACGGCTCATAGTATTCCTGCTAAAGCATGTAAAAGAGGTCCCCAATATTCGTCTTATTGTCCGTCCCCTTTTCCCTCTTTGGACGTCCCCGAGGACCAGTGCGCTCTAAGACTTCCTGCGGCCCTTTAGAAGACCTCTCGCTCCCCCCTCAGCGGTTCAATGTATCATCAAAGAACGGATTAGTGTGGGCCAGCCCAGGAGACCAACTTGAGCACCTGACAAATTTAAGCTTATTAACGACAGAAAAAGGGGAAAAACCTGCCCAGGAAGCACTGAGGGATGGAGGCCGAACTCTGAGGACTACTGATCTGTCAGCATATGGCCTGATGCTAGGCTCAAGTAATGCGAATATTTTTGCATTGAGAGAGCGTGTCTGACGAGGAAGGTGCACCTGCAGTCAATGGAAATGATGAAAGTGGGATACAGTATCTTGGTTTTTGTCTTCACACATTGTTTTCCAGAGCTCCAGAGGCAGTCATACCTCTGTAAGGAACTGAAAGGTTCTGGTTCTGATTCTGATTCCTCTTAATGATTCTGGTTCCGTTAATGAATCTTTTGAATTTTTTTGGAAAACAGAAATGCAGTTGACTCTTCACAAAGATCCGTCCCCCTTTTGCTATGTCCGACAAGCCATGCTGCTCTCACACTACACATCATGTTCTCACACAGTGAAAAATACATCACCAAAAATTACCATGATTACAAATGTAATATTGATTTTTTTTTACAACAGTTAAATAAACAAGAAGTTAATTAAGAGACTTATGTTTTAGACACCATATTGCCTGTTTTGCGCTATTTCGAATATTGGTACAAAAAAAATTATTGTTCAAGAACCAGTATCAGTATTGGTATCAAATCAACATTTTTTGAATGATACCCAGCCCTATCTTTGGCTCATAAGAGCATTTCCTTCGAGAACCATACTTCACTGGTCACGCTGTATGTGTCTGATTCACTAAAGAGAACCTTTAGTCATTTGTCATGAAGAGAGTCCTTTACTTGAGATTTGGACTTTACTGGTGGTACTCTGTTTTTGATTAACTAAAAAGAACTGGATCACGTGAGTCTATTACTTCAGAATCAAACTTTACTGGTTGCGCTGTATGTTTTTGATTCACTAAAACGAGCCAGATCATAAGAATCATTTACTTTCGAATCAGACTTCACTGGTCGCACTGTATTTTTTGTGCTAAATGGAAATGCAAGGAATATTTCTAGGGACATATTAACACAATTTAATGTCATGAAAATCACTTGGTTCTGTTATTTTATTGAAGTGATTCTTGGTTCCCAACCCTACACCTCTATCACTCCTTATCACCTTTTAACTTCTCAAACCCAAGTCAGATGTCACACCATAGGACTCTCTCAATCTCATTTAATCTCTTGAATTTTTCAGAGAATTAAACATGTCCATGCAGAACATGGATGAAAGTTTTCTTCCCTTCCTCTAAAGGAAGAATTTTTCTCAATTCCATTATATATGTTTCCCAGCAGACTCATGTGGTTAACTTGGAGTTTATCTTGTCATTCAGCTTCCAACTTCAGTCTTATTTTTTAAGGTTCCCTTTAGAGGGGTTATTATTAGCACTAAAAGTTAATCAAAACTCTAAAGTTGAGTAAATGTTGGTTGAACTTTTAGATAATAATAGCTTGATATGCTATTTAATAATTTTAGATTTTGGAGCAAATTATTTGGCCTTATAGGTCAAACCTGGGATTTGATTCAAATGAAATACATGAACTAATAATACAGTATGTTAAAGTGTCTGAAAATGCATAAATATAAAATGTATGACTAAACTTTTCACCCTTCTTCTGAAATTAAATTTTTTTTTTCTTCGTGGTTTTGTTTTTGTGCCTTATTTGTTCTCTTGGTTCCTCACTAAATGAAAATATGTGGATGAACATACATTTACTGCTAAAAGTCATGTAAATGTTAATGAACTCTTTAGTGACTCCATTCCCTTATATAAAACTCTCTCCACACCCTTCTTATAGTCACGTTCTTTCAGTATCTCGGTTCAGAATGAGTATATAGGGGACTGGAGACTGAGTTTTGCTAGCCCTCATAATTCAATGTTAAGCTTATCATGGCTGAGTGGCTTTTTATCCAGGACTTGTTCGCAGCCGGCGCTGTTTCTAATCCTCTCCACACGTAGGTCTGTGTCCCCTCAATGTGCGTTTCTTTCCGAGGAAATTTCCATAGCAATACCACAATAGTGCTGGGTGTTTCTTATGAAAAGTGCCCGAATGAAACACAGAGAAGTAGCATAGTGGAGAACAGAATTTTATAGTAAAACAACAATGATGTGTGCTATGTTATATAATATGTTTAATAATATTTTTATTTTAATGATAATTTGAATATAGTAAATGTGATATATTGATTATGAGCTGTTTGAATATTTAAAATAAGAGGTGAGATGACAGTATGAAAGGGTTTAAATGTGTGGAGGCTGATCATATATGAGGCAAAGACTTCAACTGATAGAGTCACTTGCCGTTGCTTGGAACAATAATATGACTGTTCACTGAATCATATCCTGTTTAATTTGAATGGCATGACAGAGTGAGTGAAAGACAATGAGAGAGAGAGAGATAAAGAATGCAATAGTCATGAGTCTCTATAGTGATATCACATTTACACTTAAAATAAGCCATTAAAGGGTTAGTTCACCCAAAAATGAAAATTAGCCCATAAATTACTCACCCTCAAGTCATCCTAGGTGCATAGGACTTTCTTCTTTCAGACGAATCCAGTTGGAGTTATATTAAAAATTGTCTTTGATCTTTCAAGCTGTTTCATGGCACTCAG